TCGAGAACAGTTCCACTATGACAAGAGTCAATGATAGCATGAAGTGTGACACCAGAAATGAGTGGCTTAACAAGAATATCATTGATGGCATTATCAATGATCATGCCTTTAGTCCTAAAGTCAAGAGGACATATTGTTTCATCAAAACCATCTGTTTCATCGTCATTAAAATCAGGTTGTCGTAAGCCATGTCCTGAGAAGTAGAACACCAACGAGTCACCTGATTTAAGGTCTGCCATCAGCCACTTGAATGCCTCTAATATGTTTCTCCTGGTTGGAGGTTTATATGCCTCTTCTTCTGCAAGTTATTTCCATTCAAAAGTAAGATATAAAAATGTTTCTTACTCATCATCGTAGGCAGCCCGGTGCACTAAGCTTCCGCTATGCGTACCGGGAAGGGCCGGACCACAAGGGTCTATTGTACGCAGCCTTACCCTGCATTTCTGCAAGAGTACAGCTCGAATCCGTGACCTCCTGGTCACATGGCAACAACTTTAAGGCTTCCGTTCTTACTCATCATCGTATATTCATAGTAAATAGAGAAACTGGAATACCTGCTAGAATGAGAATAGATTCATCTGAAAAGTTAAATTTTTGGACCAGCAAGTCCCTCATGCTGTTTACATCATGCAATGTTCCTCTGAGCCTGAACTTCTCCTTCTTGTAAGTCACTCCACAAAGGAATGCGCGCTTCCCACTTGGTGGCGGCTTTGTGAAAATGAGTGATAAACGAGGACTAACACTCGGAGAAGGGGATAGACTGTTAGTTCTTGATCTATTTCTCCTAAATTTATCCCGAAATCTTCTAACTCTAGAACTGATCCTACCGCGTTCTTGGACCTGCAGTGACCTATCACTATTGCCTAGATGAATCAAATTGCTACACTGACAACGAAGTCGTTGACTATGTGGTGGCAGTATTAGTGGCAGTCGACATTTTTGACATGCCATAGACATCATTTGTACAATAAAAAACTAGTTCTGCTCAGTAACTAAAGTTAGCAGACAGTAAGTAATTAGCACTAGGACAGAGTCACTTCAATTCGACTATAGTTCTTGAAAGTATGTGAATTCATCAATCTAATTATGATAATTATATATAAGCAGGAAAATATTCATGTGTTTTTTTATCAAAATGTGAACATGAACTGTTCCACTTCACCAAAAGTAAGACATTTCTAATTGTTTTTTGGTTGATTCACAGTTAAGATTGTCCCTTCATTTCCATATCGTTGATACTCAATTGGCAATGTGCTGATTTAGAAGAAGATGCCGCTACAGAAGCAGAAGATGGAACTGGCTTTGCCTTTTCCATCGCTCTTTTTGGAAAGTGAAAATTCGTATATATAGTGGCTGAACACAATAGCATATTCGGAACCTTGTCTTGATCAGTAAACCCCCCAAAATCTGTGACTTCATTTTTCTTCTAGATCAATCAGTTAATTGGATTGAAGTACAAAGGAATTGATGTAAGTTTGATGTCAAGTTACGCCTGTTTGCAACAAATTTATGCAGAGAAAAATAAAACTGCAATCACAAACAACTATAAAGAATAAATGATTTTATTGATAAACATTGCAGGTTCCATGCCATGATTTTTTAATGGAATTTCGAGATGTCTTTGAAGGACACATGTAGCCTTATTTATAGGCATAAATTAGGGTTTTGGTTAAGTAACCACCAAGTAACCCTAATAGACTCCTAATATTTCAAGAATTTTCTTAAAAATTACGACTTATCTTGATCTGTTAAAATTTCAGTGTCTACAACGCGCAAGCTAGTGAGGATTTGTGCATGTGGGCCAGGGTGAATATTGCAGGCTAGCGGACCTGGTGGTCGACAACTTGGTAAAGGTTGTCGCAGCACCAGTCGTACAACTAGTTGCTGTCAAATTGGACGCGAAGCACCTGTCGTACAACTAGTTGCTGTCAAATTGGACGTCTATCTATCTTACTACGTTCAATGTTTTAAAAGGCGGGGGCGTGAGGCGAGGCGTTTTACCTCTGACGAGGCGAGGCGTAAGCCCTGAGACATGGGGCGTAAGTCTCACGGATCTTTAAATTTTACTAATTTCAAGAATTTTAAGATAGTATAAAATAAAAGATAATTACAAAAATAACGTTAAAATCACAAAATTATACAAATAATCTATTGAAAAATATTTATAAATTATAATTCAACTATGAATAATACGAAAAGTATGACATATATCATAATATGCAAATTAGCTGCAACGTCGTTACAGCTCAAACATCAAAAGTAATGTATTCGATACGAAATCTTATATGTATCTCTTAAGGAGTAATGAATCTTGAAAGAATTGCGATATTATAATTTGATATTTTTCTTAAAATACTCCTTTTATTTAATATGCTTTGGATTTGAAATAGAATTTATATAAAAACATAATTCACAATTTAATTGTGATTCTCAAGCATCGTTCATTTTTAAGTTTCAACAAGTTTATAAAGTGACACATAATTCACCATACAATACCATGATAACTAATTATTTGTAAATAGTTACTAATTGAGCTATTAAATTAATAAGTATTGTATATCATAAACATGAAAAAAAATATTTAGAAAAATAATTATAAAAAAAGTTATGGACTAGTATATAGTAAAGACATAACAAAAGTTAATAAATAAATACTTTTTAAATGAAAGATTTATTTAACATTAACTATCATAGTAGTCTTAGTGGATAACGTGCAATAATTTTTATTTTAATTATGACATAAAATACTCTCAACTTAATGATTTAAAATTAGAAAAAAAGTAAATTTGAATAGTCAACGATTTATTAAGAAAATTTGAGGATTTACAAGGTTAGTTACATACAATTGCATAAAGTTCTATTAGGCGAGCCCAGTACGCTGGGCGTTGGGCGTGTCCGGGGCGTAAGCCCCAATAGTCGAGGCGTAAGTCTCACGGAACTAAGCCCCACACATAAGCCCAGGGGCGTTTTACGAGTGCTCCACCCCGGGACGAGTCCCAATTCTGCCTTTTAAAACAGAGACTACGTTCCCTATTCCATAAAGGCCGGGGGAATAAGTTCCATTCTATAATTGCTCCTGATAAAATGAAAAAGGTACTACTTTATTCCGTTACATATAGTATAAGATGAATATCAAATTCGCTCTCTTTTGGGATTCTAAATATGCTTATACATAAATAAACTGTTGTACAAATCCACCCAATGGATATATATATATATATATATATATATATGATTGGAAAGGTTAGCAATTTAACGTGTAAAATGAAGGGTGGAAGAAATCGTACCAAGTGTTGCATGCTGGTTATAACTTAATGGCCAGCAAGAGCAAATGAGCTATAAGAACCAAAATCTAGTTTTGTAAACGCTTCGATTTGTTGTTCCAAAAAAAAAAAAAATGTCTAATTTTAACGAAAACCAACTCTCACAGCATATCAATAATAATTCCGCAAAATTAAATTTCGAACTTTCACATAATTAACAAACAAAAATAACCAATCTAAAAGTCTCTTGAATTTAGTGTAATGAGAAGAGTGCGGATCTTTCTATAGCCACCACTAGTGGTGGCAAAATGGTTAAAAGAAAACAATTAACCACCCAATAATGAAGTTCAAAAATAGCCCGATTTATAATTGGTCGTTCAAAAATAGCCCAGTTTCAAAAGTAATCGAAATTTAGCCACTTTTCATATAAAGATAAATCTGAGCGAAAACACAGTTCAAAACCCGAAAAATACGCCAGTATATTATGCTGGAGTTCCAGCATAAGTATACTTGAACTCCAGCATATTATACTGGAGTTCCAGCATAAGTGCACTAGAACTCCGGCATAATATACTGGAGTTCCAGCAAGTATATCTGTCCAGCATAATATACTGGAGTTTGGAGCGCCGGTGCTCCAGTCTCCAGTATATTATACTGGAGCCAGCAAAGTATACCGGTGCAGCATAATATGCTGGAGTTCATACACAGGTGCACCGAACTCCAGTATATTATGCTGGGCCGGTCTCTGTTGCAGCAAAATAGTGGCTATTTTTCATTGACTTGGTAAACGCTGGCTATTTTTGAATGACCGGTCCGAAAACTGGCTATACCGTGCTATTTTGACATATTATTCACTTAAAAATGGATTGGATAATGAACTTTTTAAAAACGGGTCAAATATGAATAAGAAATATATTATCCATTTAGAAAATGGATAACTAATGAATTTATTTGTTATATTTGTAAAGTCTCAAATTAGGGGTTTCTCAAGTTTGGGAGACTAGGAATTCTCCCAAAAGTGATCATATTCAGAAAGTCATGGATAATATGATTACCCATATTATCCGCTAATATGGTTACCCATATTATCCGCCGGTTAACCCGTTTTTTATCCGTATTAAATATAGGTCGGATCGGATAATTTATCTATTTTTTCATTACCTGTTTTAGACCTGAACCGCCCGTTTTGCCACTCCTAGCCATTCACGTTTTAATGTTCCTTTTCCCATTTTGAAATGAAGGATAAGGAACAAGATGCTTATCTTCACAAGTCCAGTAAATAGAAAGCAGGAATCTAAACCATCGGTCATGGATAACCCACAACAAAAGGCTATATTTAATGGCATTGACTCATTACTTAACCAGAAAGCATGTTACAGCAACAGTATTCAAGCTGGCAGAATAGGTGCTTCAGACATGATTAACAAAGGAAGGTGCAAAGACCGTCACGTCTTATGCTTCCTTGAGGAGAAAATATGCAATTTGCATCTGATATACATCGTTGTTATTGAAACCTAGGGCGAAGCTACACTTTGGGACCATCCTTTGTCGCAAAATTACACTGCGTATATAGGTAAAATATCAGGTTTTAGAGGTACATAACATATATTGAACACCCTTTGTCTGGAATTTTTGTTTACTCCTTTCAAATTTGAACACCCTTGAGGAAATTTCTGGCTTCGCCACTGATTGAACCTGTCCACAATCTAAATTAATATGCATCTTAAAAGCTTGACAGAAGCTCGCAACACAAGATTAAAAGGTAAACAGACTGAGAAAACAAGTAGAAAGTCGAAGGGGTATAACCCTCTCAGATACAACTAGATTCTAAAGGGGCTCATAGAGCTAATCCGTGACATACACAAACAGATATATACATCTACATAATCAGAACAGACACTATTCACTTAATGCATAGAGACACATCTACTGTCTTCTGTAATTTACATACCGGAATGAGGAATATTACCAAACTACAGTATTCCATAGATGAATTTACAGCAAACCGAGGATACCAGCAAAAACTCCATCTCCAAGAAAGAGCATATGCATGCTTTGTAACAACCATCTTTAGACGGAAAGGAGACCTGCAACTTCTGCAATTTAAGATGATAAATGCTGATAAGCTCGCCAAAGAATAAACTATAATGGAGTTGTATTTTAGCAAGAATCACCAGCCAATTTTTCATAGTTGAGACATGAAGAAGGAAAGAAGTGGCAAAAAGATTCTGTTTGTTACTCATTATAGCAGCTATAACTTCAGCAAGTCAAGGAATTACCACATGTATCAGGACATTGAGCAACAGCAGCACGAGACAGCTCAGTGGAAAATTAGAAATTGTGAGGACTCATGGAAAGACCACCCTCCAGATGTCCGGATATTTTAGCCTTGCAGTCTGGACACATAAATCCAATTGAATCCGAATGAGCTTCTGTATCATAAGCTTCAAGCTGGAACTCTGCTCTGCACCACACACATACTGTTGAGAGCTGATCCGGTTCTTCCATGTTTAAGATGATTCCTCCAGAATCAAATCCAACTGACGCAAAAACCTCTTCCATCCTTGCATCATTACCCAACCCAATAGAAACAGAGGGTAAAGATGAAGATGCATGACCAATATCAAAGCTATATTTGAAGTGTTCTATCTCATCCAGCCTAAGCTCGTCAAACCCTGTTTCATTATCCAGATTCTGACCAATAGCAGAAAATTCACCATTGTCCTACAGAGGTTATAGTAAATAGATTACGAACCCGTGAAATTAGGGAATTATTTGAACAAGAGTTAATAGGAGATAGTATCTATCAACAGAATGATTGTGAATTAACTTATATTCCAAAACCTCAATGCATAAAATCCAACACAACAGAAATCTGCACATTTGTCATTGCCATTAATAGCGATAGGTCTCAAAGAATTAAAGCCTTTCCAAAAGTCAGGATAGATGGAGCTAAAAAAAACCCGGTTAGATTAATGTAAGCGAAACAAGAGGATAGAAACAGGTTCACCACTCAAGTAGATGCTACAATGAGTGGGATAAAGAGTCATAGCATCTTTAAGATTCCTAATGATTATAAACTGACGGATAAAAACGTTCATCATGGGCGCATCAGGTAGGTTGGGCTATCGATAAGCTGTAGAAACAATCTCCTACATTGATCAGTATCAACATAGAAATGCCCAGGTGTTCCCTGCTTGATGCTGGACTGTAGGCATATTGAAGTGCTTATCAAACCAGGTATGCATTTAGAGCCTTGATAAATCCTGAGAGTAGAGGGGTCTCTTAACATAAAAATCTTTTCTGAATGCAGTAGTTGTCTGCCTGCAAATACATATTTTGGGCACTCTTATCTAAGTCTATATATTCAGTTTCCAGACAGATAGGAGTAAACACATGTTAGCCTCAGCCAAGTTGACCTGAAATAGTCATCATAATCAAGTCATAGCCTTCTTCGTTCTCACCTATGTTGGAGATGAACAAAAGAGGCCCTAATACAAAAACTCCCAGGCAAGATAAACCAATTTAACTTTTGAACAATCCGCAATCATCAAGAATCAACAAAGTTGACCATTCGCCAGAAACCCAGAAAAAGGAGGAAAATTTTGTAGACCGTTGCTTGATACATTTTTTACAAAACAAAGACAAAGACAAGGTCGTCCTCATCATCAATGAGATAAATATATAACCTGTATAGATGCAGAAAATGCATCTTTACCTTACTTGATCCTGAAAGAATGCCAGTAAAGTTGTGGAATGATTGCACCGTAGGCTCTGAAAAGCTAGCTAACCCATCTTGAGTAGCATTTTGCTGAAGAGTGAATTCCATAGTCTCGGATTCAACATCATTATTTGCTTTAGTCAGGTTGTTTCCAAGTCCAATTGCTAGCTTGTCATTCCCATCCTTCTTCATGTCATCACTCTCAGGGTGCTCAGAATCACTATGAAATAGTTGCACCATAGACACTGAGGAGCTTGTTAACCTATTCAGAGTAGCATTTTCCTGAAAAGTCAGTTCCATAGTTTCTGATTCAACATCATTTGCTTTAGTCAGGCTGTTTTCATTACCCGCTGCTACCTTATCAGTGCCATCCTTCTTCATGCCAGCACCGGCAGAGTGCTCTGAATCATTATGCAATGACTGCAACATAGACACTGAAGAGCTGGTTAACGCATTCTGACTAGCAATTTCCTGAAAAGTTAGTTCCATGGTCCCTGATTGAAGATCATCATTTTCTTCCATCTGCTTGTTTCCCAGGCCCACCATTGGCTTGTCACTTCCAGCCTCCTTTTCTTCATCACTCTCAGGCTGCTCAGAATCATTGGTTGAAATCACTCTCGGATAGAAGTTGTTGGTCAAAATCTCACCACTCTTATCTTTATCTACTTCCATGCAGGTTTTATCAGGCTGATTTCTGCCTTGTTCATGACATGTTTCAGCTTTAACATCCCTGGCATCTGACAATCCAGTATCAACGTTTGGCCTCACAACTTGGTCAATGTTGGTAGGCGTACTTCCATCGAAGTTCATTGTCGTACTAGATGGCATGCTGCTGACCTTGGTCGCAGCTCTAGCACTAGAAGTTTCTACAACTGAATTTTGGGCAATTTCAATTAAAGCATCCATTTTACATGTCCCTAAAAGCAACCCATCTTGATGCGGAGACTGAACACGCTTGTCTGTTGCAACAGCAGCAGATACATCCACAGTACCTCTTGCATTGTTTCTCACATGGACTCCAACATGACCATTGTAACTACGCCTTTCTTCAAATACCTTATGGCAGAACTGGCATTCATATTTTCCATCTCTAATTATGACCCCATCACCTACCGATGGCCCAACCCTATACCTTCTTGTAGTCCGCTGGTGAAATGAGAACAGATGCTGCAAATATGCATTCTTTTCTTCAAATGTCAAGTTGCATTTATAACATTCAAAAATGTCTTGAACTTTAACCTCAGGGAGATTATCCATCTCCATCAAGGAAATTTCATTGCCGCGTAGGTCTAGAGTAGATGAACTGGGTACAACTGAATGTGCAACTATGTCATGCTTTGCCAAATCACCTTCTTGAAGAGAATGTGAATTTTCTTGAATGTCTGTTGACAACACCAAACTGGTGTTACTACGGAAGTTACTTACACTTTTAGAAACAGTGTCATCAGCCTGCTGAGTAAGCTGGTTTGCTTCACCAGACAAAAAATGGGACCGCAAGTATGATGAAGCCTCTTTGCATGATATAAACTGCTGACCAGTAGGGCTAGAAAAGAAAATGCCAAGTAAGAAAAAATTACTGGACTTAGCACACAAAACAAGAGAGAGGCAGTAAATATCGTCGAAATTTAGGACATAACACTGTTTCAAATTGATCAAGCACAGCCTATCAAGTGAATTATCGTCATGAATATAAGGTGCTGTTAAGTCAGTTAACAAATTAGTAAATTCGAATATACATAACGAGCAGTGGTTCCAGCCCCGTGTCCTAATCATCTGAGCTAAAAACCCCGACTCCAACTGGATCTATTCATAAGGAGTACCCTCAGCAAAGGAATCCAAGAGGCTTACCCAAAGAAAGCAAAAGGAATCAAAGACTAAGGAAGCTGGTGCAAGTTTTGCCTATATTTCATTCTTCATAAAATTTTGGAGAAGGAATTCTGGGGGACAAAGGTTCCTTTATTTGCACCAAGCTGCACAGGAGCTTATTCAAGGTCGATTCGAGATTTCAAGTTAAAACTAGATTTCCGCTTATCAGCTAAAATGAGTTCCTTGTGCAATTGACTGATTATTTATATCTAAGTAATTATGCTAAATATGGTAATAATTCCCTCTCAACTAACGTTTGCATCCACTAACTTGAAAATGCTGATCTTCAAGATACAACAGAATCATTTTACCTACTTCACCAACCCTAGAAAATTCAAACAAGTGGATTTGTCCAAATCATTCCTACATGTAGGCTGCAATGTGCTTAGGATTGGGAGTCCATGAGCTATGATACACGGTTCTTGAGGGAAAACTTCGTGGGAGCCCATCCCAGTAGCATGCATTGAATCAATGCATACAGTTTCAGGAAGCATATATAAAATGTGCACAAACTCATCAACGAGCTAACCATTTTTTAGAACAAAGCACACAAATTCATGATGCTTCAACAAACACATGAGATGACATTGGAACACAAACTCTACATAGATCATGGTTGTGTTTAATGAACATGCAACAGAATACTGACTAGCAATTTCGAAGTAAGCAACAATGTGCCACATAACACGAATGCATAAAATCTTTTAAACATGTAATCAACAAGCAAAAGTAAAGAATGGAAAAAACATAACAACCCGACATATCTACGGCAGTAAACCCAGACACGACCATCGCGTCTTCGCAGGGCTAACAAGAGCTTCCAACCAATAGGCAATGTATCGCCAAATCCACTAGCATCAACATATTTCCTCCTCTTCCTTCTGCTACACCACTCCCCCTCCAAATCCCTTACAAACCCAAGTACCTCTTCTTCGCTCTGTAATCCAGCTGTCCTTTTCTCCAATTCTCCGCTGTACAATTCATCCCCGTTACTCTCCAATTTTTTTAAATCCACCACCTCGCCATTTTTATTCACAATTTCCACTTCAACCCCAACACCATTCTCTTTCAATTTCATTTTATCCTTAGCTTTACGTCCTCTATTCCTATTTTTCTCACGATCATTCATTAAAAGTAGGGTTTTTTCTTGAACCCCAAAAATAGCCGGCTGTGTTATCGGAGGAGGAAGAGGTGGTGGCGGAAGCGGTGGCGGAGGTGGTGGTGGAGCGTGAGAATTAGGATTGTGAATGAAGAATTTAAGGAAATGCATAATTGAGTGATTTTCAGGGTCAGAAGAAGAAGGGGGTTTGGGTTTAGAAGTGGAAGGGTGAAGACCAGGCACGCGAGAACGGTGGTGCTGGTGGCGGAGACGGGAGTAGGTTTGACGGCGACTTCCGGCGGATTCATTGAAGAGGGAACGATCAAGCTGAGGAATAACGACGTCGTTTGTTCGCCGGAGGTCGTAAGCTGAGTCGGAGCAAAGGGAAAGTGCGTGGAGCTCGGATTGGGAAAGTTTGCTGATATCTATGTGGGATAGTGCTTCTAGCTTGGGCCCACAAGTGGGTGCGGGTGCAACTGTCGTCATTTCCGATGAGAATTCCGACAAGGGACAATAAGGTGGTGTTGGTGTTGTAGTTATCGACTTACAGTTAACTCCATTGTCTGGAGGACATAACTAAAAAGAGTAAAAGGAAAGCATACTGTACTGTACTGTAATACTTTGTATTTGGGTTGGTTTTGTTCACATACTAATTAGGCAGAATTTTAATGTTGGGAGAGAGTGTTATATGGAAATTAATAATGAAGTAATTACCATATTATAATTAATAGTGAATTAATTTTTATTTTATAAGAAATTACTAAATTGTTCAGTCACACTCAATGTAACTTGATATCGCCAACCAAACATTATATATTTAAGATTTTACTCATTTTATGCGTGATTTTGTGCTGACATTAGTTATACCATACATCAACCTAGCTACATACTCTGATTTTTAAAGAGATATAAGAAAATTACTTTGTCCTAAAAAGTTGAATGAAAATAAAATTGATGATTTGAAAATAAAAATTACATCTTTAAGATCTACGTATAAGAGTATACTTTGAATCACAATTTTTATACCTACAATTTTATAGATATTTTTAAATCTTTGTCAATTAAGAGATTGTTTTACCTTTTAAATTATGTAATATAATATAAGATGTAGATATAAAAGTTAAAGTAAGATACTTTATAAGAAAATTAAAAAAAGAGTATTGAATTAGTGGTAAATATGTATTACTATAGTAATAAATTTCTGGAAATCAAAGAAAAGAAATCAAATATAATCAAATCTTACCCTTGTAGCTAGGTACCACAAGAATGCTATCCTAGGCGCTGCTCAAACCTCATTTGGTTACAAATATATGAGCCCGTTTGGATTAGCCGGAAAAAAGTTAGCTTTTAAGCACAAGTACTTAAAAGCAGCTTTTAAGTGCTGAAATTTGTTTTATAAATAAGCAGTTACATATTTGGATAAAAGTGCTGAAGCTTAAAAAAAGCTGTTGAAGTGTTTGATAAACAAGTGCTGGTAAGAACTTTTTTCTATTAAAAAGACAGAAATATTCTTAAAGATGTTAACATTATAAAGGAGTTGATTACTACAATATATTTGATTCATATAATTAATGCAAATAAAAAATAATTTATATTTTAATTTAATTTTAATTTAAATGATTACTTAAGATAGTTTTTACAAATATAATTCTTGAACGCTCATTTTTAGTTTGTACAAAAGAGAAAAGAAAAATAATTTGTTCCTACTACTCTTTAATTTCAATAAGTCAAGTTACTATTATTTAATTTCAGCCGTTCTTATTTCAACCACTTAATTATATGCATATTTTAAGAAAACGAAACAAAATAACATTTCTCAATTGGAATGTAAAATAATAAGTTTCAATTAGTTAATGTCAAATTACATACTGATAGTCATTGTATGGATGCGCAGTTAACAAGCTCAGCTCATGATGATTGTATGTAAGGAGGCGATTAATTATCAAAGGCAATACAAAAAAAAGGAATTCAGACTCAATTACTCTGCTTGGTACAGTATAGTTCTGAAATATTATTGCATGATAGCCAAGAACACTATTAATTCTAATGTGACTCAAAAGATATAAGTATGAATTATTTATGCCCAGTACCATGAAATGTAATTTTTTTACTCATAGGTTTATCCTACTAGGAAGTACTGTTTTAATTTTCCAAAAAACCACACACTGTTGATACAACAAATTCAAGTATTGGAAAACATGTTCATACAACTACAAGTATCAAGCTTCACAAATTTCATTAGCAATCAAATCGTGAAGATCCATCCAAACAAGATCACTTTGCTCTTTCACATTTTTCACATTTATATTGTATCAGCTCTCAAAGATGTACCAACATCAGGATCAACAGAAGGAACATATCTCTCATTCTCAGCTGCTCGGAATGCATCATCCATATTGCATTTCTTTCTAATATAGTTATGAATGGCCATAGTAGCAAGTACGATGTCTCTTTGAGTGTCAATGTGATAGAAAGGCATGTCTCGCAAAATAGACCATCTTGCTTTCCAAACCCTAAATGTGCGCTCTATAATATTTCTACAAGAAGAATGCAAATAGTTAAATTTTTCAATTCGCCCTCTTGGTTCTAGCAATTGCCTTGTTGCACCGCGACGGAATTATGCTAGGTGATATCTCACATTATCTCCTTTGTATGGAGCCATATATCCCTTCATATGTGGATATCCTGCATCAACTAGATAATACTTATTTCTAATTGGACGTGGAAAGTTGAGTTCTGGTCTACGAAGGGCCTCACCAAATATACGACTATCGTGAGCTGCTCCTTCCCACCCAGCCCATGCAAATGTAAAACACATATTAAAGTCTACGACAGCAAGAATATTTTGAGTCGGATAACCTTTACGTCCAATATATGGTATTTCTTGACCTTGCGGTAATCTTGCTTTAACATGTGTGCCATCAAGTGCTCCAATACAATCCTACACACATTTACAAATATAAATTTAACTTAAGTTAGTAATACTTATAAAAGTTAAGTTATAAGTTTAATAAAAATGAATTATGTAAAAATATTTCTTACTCTAAAGAAAGGGAGATATCGACCGTTACATGGCTTGTGAGCTCCTGCACCATCATTATAATTTTGATTTGGTCTAATTATATCTCTTGCAAGCTCACAAATGGCCTTTAAAAAAATATGAAAGTGTCTATGAATTGTTTCTCCCGAATGTTGAAAGATTTCTTGTATCAATCGATTTCCAGCTCCATGTGCACAAGTCATCAAGAACATGCCTAACATCTCGTGTATAGACATTCCACGTGTGGGTTTAAGCCCATACTTTTCAGTTAAGTCATCCGATAGATCAACAAACACCTACTTTCTCAATCGAAAATTTTCGTAACAACGAGTCTCGTTTCCTTTTAATATCTCTTGAATAAATACATTTTCAGAGCGACTAGATGTACGACAAGGTTCCTTGCATAGGTATTTTTCGTAATACATCAAAATCAATTTACCTGCTATTTGACATAAAGTCGTCCATTCCTTCTCATCTTGCTCCCTCTGTATTTTCTCCGGTTCTTCTTCATCTTCATCGTCTGAAGAATAACTTGGATAAGGATCTACTATGTCACTAGAGTTCGAACTCTCCATTTTACTGAAAATGAACACATAAAGTTAACAGAAGCTTTCTAAACATAACCTTAACTGAAGCTTTACAAACATAAAGTAAAGGGAAGCTTAACAATAGTAAGCTTAATCGAAGCTTAACAACAGAAGCTCAACAAACAGAAGCTTTAATTCAATAGAAGTTTAATGATACAATCACAACGTCTAAACAAGAAGCAATATATAAAGTTTACACATAAAACCATAATAACGTTTACACATACAATCACAATATTAGAACACAGAATACTCAACCACAACGATACATTATCCATTTTTCTTGAGGTATAACTGATAGTTAAACTCCAACCAAGACTTGCGAGCTTCATCAGTAGGCATCCCCAAAAATATCTGTCGGTTATTTTTCTTGCGGAACATATTCATAGTAAAACTGTAAATTTTACTCCCAGCTAGAATATCAGGAATTTGTTCCAACGTGCCAATACACTTCTCGATGGATGTCTCATCAACTGCAGGAGATGTAGCAGTGCTTTTGCTAGACATAAACTCTATGAGAGAGTGTATATCCTCTTTTATTAATGTTGCAGCTGTTTTTTCTTACTCTTTCTTACTTGACTACTGGTGCTAACACCATCAGTTGATTTTTGTCTTTTTAGTGATGGCTCTGGAAACATAACAGAATTTATATTCTGTAGATCATCACTTTCATCGCTCATTTCATCATTAAGATGAATAAAGTGTTCTTTGTCACAATCATCAATAATATTTATTCCTTCTTCATAAAGATTAAGTCCAATGCCGGATGATTGTTCTTGATTTGCTGCACGTGCTCTTACTCCTGCGGCAACAACATCAGCAAACAGTGCATCGTAGCGAAACCATATGAGCGAAAGATCTTTGTTCCTAAATTTCTTATATTTTGCATTCTCCTGTAAAAAGAGAAAATCAAAACTACTTTAATCAAACCGATAAAATTAACAATGAAAAAAATAAGAATTACACATATAATAATGTAAGAGATATATCATAATTTTTCGCTCCCACCAATCATCATCTGCCATAATTGTATTTTTCGTGGCACCCCATCCTAAACCTATCTCCCCTCTCATCAACTGCTTAAAAAATGTCCATTCGCCTTTCATGTAATCCCAATGATTTTTTATTTTTTTATCATAGTCTTTTCCCGTCTTCTTACAGAACTTGTCAACGATACTTTTCCACCCATCTTTATTTAAGTAAGTGTTTGGTCTATTTCCTTTTCTAACCTCTTGCTCACACAACTCAAGAAATATTATATGTGTATCATCGTTCCACTTAGCATTGTCCGGCATAATTGAATGTAAATAATCTGAAGAAAGCAGAGCAACCAAGAAGCTAAAGAAGGCAACAATTGAAACAAATACATTTGGTGAAATACAGATTATTTTGCTACTCTAAGTGACATATATTATCAGTATATTAGTATCAGATTACTATACAAACTTCTAATTTAGCTAGAAGATAAATTAATCCAAAACTTATTAAAGGTATTCTGTGCATTTACACATCTGTGAGCAATGCATATCTACAGCGTTAGCCATTTCAAATTATCTGAGTTCATCACTCTTTGAGCATTTTCCTGTTAGACATTCATAAAGTCCAGAAACTATTACCTCATAAATTTATCAAATAATAGGACATTAGTAGGCTCAAGTGTGCAAAACTTGAAGTTCAGAAAAATGCCTTCAACTCTTCAAGAACAACATAAAGAGGATAAGTGAAGGAAACCATGTAATTCATGCATACAAAGATGGTTTCATGTGTTAGAACACTGCACAGACATGACTTTTTAGATGGCTACGGTAGTTGAATGCACTTTTCTCCTCTTTTTTATATTATTTTATTTTGGATTGGATTAACCTTCTCACTAAAGACACCCCTCTTCAGCTCCCAGTCCAACCCTTCATCCGGAATAGTTGACTCCATCCCGAGCCTCTATCCACTTCCCCCAATCCTATATTTATCTTCTTCTTTTTTTGGTGTTGAAAGTAAGAGTTAAATTGCTA